GGAGGGAGGGAGGGAGAAAGAGAGAGAGAGAGAGAGAAAGAATATCCCAAGCAGGTTCTGCACTGTCAGTACAGACCCCAATGCAGGATTCTATCTCATGAACCATGAGATCATGACCTGAGCAGAAATCAAGAGTCAGAAGCTTAACTGACTGAGCCACCCAGGTGCCCCACAGCATACACAGTCTTAACAAAAGTTGCTTGTACACAAGCCACTCACAAGATCCTATCGTGAATTTCAACTTCTAGTTCAGCATGTTGGGGCAGGGGTGAGGAGCAGGGAGAATGCTTACGCACACCATCCTCCTTACAAGGTAGGACCAATTAATTTCCATCCTACAAATGAGAAGAATGAAGCCTAAGAGGTAAGAAACTTGTCCCAAGTTGCATCTAGTAAACTGCATTACTGGGTCTCCAAAAGCCATCTGATTTTCAGTATATTATGCTACTTACCCAGGAATACATTTATCCAACACTGTGGCAGAAAATTCTCCCCCTACAATCCCCACGTAAAATGTAAATGAAAAGGCTCATTACTTAGCTAAAATGATATAGAGGTATATAATAAGTTCCTGAAAAGAATTTCAAGATGTCTAATTATACCATGGTTCCTTTCAACCTTCGGGTAATATTCAAGCAATGTTTCTCAAATTGTATTATGTCCCATACTTACTAAAAAAGTATACACTGGATTAATAAATTCACAAAATTATATTTGCATTTTATACACACATAATGGGTATTATCACATTCAAAGCTCTAAGAGTTCTACAATGAAGACAGCTGCTTAACAAAAATGTGCCAAATTTATTTCTTATAGATCCTCCCCACCCCCCAACTCCCCGCCCCCTCTGCCCGGAACATAACTCAGAAAATACTGGGTCAGGATTAAATAAAACTTCCATAAAAAGGCATTTATGTGTGTGTATTTAGAGAATATATTCTAATGTCTGAAAATGCTACAGTCAATAAAAGTCTATACCTGTATGTTACAGTCAATAAAAGTCTATACAGTGAGAAGATTTTTAAAAATGATAAAAAGGCTGGATGCACATATATTTTACATATAATTACATAAATAATTAAGAGTAAAATTATATTTTACATATAATTAAGAGGTGCTTGGCTGGCTCATTTGGTAGAGCATGCCACTTTTGATCTCAGGGTCATGGGTTTAAGCCCCACATTGGGCGTAAAGCTTACTTAAAAAAAAAAAAAAAAAAAGGGGCGCCTGGGTGGCGCAGTCGGTTGAGCGTCCGACTTCAGCCAGGTCACGATCTCGCGGTCCGTGAGTTCGAGCCCCGCGTCGGGCTCTGGGCTGATGGCTCGGAGCCTGGAGCCTGTTTCCGATTCTGTGTCTCCCTCTCTCTGCCCCTCCCCCATTCATGCTCTGTCTCTCTCTGTCCCAAAAATAAAAAAAAATAAAAAAAAAGTTGGAAAAAAAAAAAAGTTCATTCTCTTTGTCAAAAGAAAAAAAAAGTGAATGGGTTGGGGTGATGAAAAATTGGTGACGGTCACACAACAATGTGAATGTACTCAATGCTTCTGAACTGTACACTTAAAACAGTAAATTTTATATTATGTATATCTTACCACAACTAAAAAAAAAGTAAAGGAGTACAAATACAAACTTCCAACTATAAATCATGGAATAAACCATGGGGATGAAAAGTACAACATAGGAGATATAGTCGATAATATGGTAATAATAATTTTCCATGGCAACAGATGATACCTAAGCTTATCATGGTAAACATTCATTATGTATATAATCGTTGAATCGCTAAGTTATACACCTGAAACTAATATATTGTAGGCCAACTACAGTAAAAAGAATAAATGGGTATAAGAGTGGGAAATGACACATGTAAGAGAATACATATTTATAAGTAAAAAAACATACTTAGAGGGGTGCCCCGGGTGGTTCAGTCAGTTAAGCGTCCAACTTCAGCTCAGATCATAATCTCATGGTTCATGAGTTCGAGCCCTGTGCTGGGCCCTGTGCTGACAGCTCAGAGCCTGGAGCCTGTTTCAGATTCTGTGTCTCCCTCTCTCTGACCCTCCCTTGCTCATGCTCTTTCCCCCTCACCTCTCAAAAATAAACATTTAAATAAATAAATGAATGAACATAAAAAAATACTTAAAGAATAAGAAGTAGTGCTGAGGAAGTTTTCATCTTCACAGTAAACAAAGAAGGCAGCATGCTTTCCTAATTAACTTTGGATGTATTTCTAAACATTTTATGATTCTACATCGTTCAGTATATTCTGCATATAGCAGAACTCTGGTTACACCATAAACTTGCTAAGTTCAAATGGTATTGGAAAAACTACATAGGAAGCATTTGAAAAGGATGAAAATTATTAAAACTACAGGAAAAAATTTTAATGTATGATAATCAGTTTTCTCAAAAGTCACCTGATATTCAAGTCCTCTCCCTTGAGTGTTAGTGTTTTGATGGATCATCTTAAATCTAGCTTTAAAGATTCAGAAATCTAACTTCTAGTTCATCCAGAATTGATTAAGTTGAAAGACTGCCTCAAGTTAATCACTAAAAAGACATCAATATATAAACACAATTAATTTACTACATTACTGAAAAGGATTGAAACTACTTATGCAGCAAAATCTGAACCCACTAACTAGCTCGGTGACCATGCCAAACCTCTCTGTGCCTACGTGTCATCGACTGCAAAATGGGGGTAATGATACTTACACTATGGTGTTATGATTAATGTTAAGATTTATAAAGCACTTTGAACACTATATGACACACAGTAACTACTACATAAGTGTTTGCTAAATACGGTAATACTCCCTGGTCAACCTCTCTGGTACTGCAAAAAACAAAAACCCCACATAAAACATCAAGATTACCATTAAAAGATTCTTCACTGAGCACAGAATCAAAACAAAAAAAGATGAAGACTTTAGTGGGTAGTCCTCTAATAAAACAATTTGAGGAACAGTTTCTTACCCTAGGGCAGGGTTTTCCACCTTCAGCAGTGTTGACATTTTGGGCCAGATGATTCTTGCTGGTGGCGGGAGGGGTGTAGAGGGCTGTCCTGTCCATTCTTACTGTATCACGTTTAGAAGCATTCCTACCCTCTACCCAACTAGATGTGGATAGCAACCCCTCAACCACCACCACGAGTTATGACAACCAAAACTGTCTCCAGACATAGCCAGACATCTCCTGGGAAGCAAAATCGTTCCTGGGTCAAGAACCAATGCTTCAGAGATCTATTTGCCAAAATGAACAATTTTGCTCCTATCAGCTCTTCAAGAGCTTCCGTCCCTATCATTTTTGGATACAATGACCACCCCAGTTCAGGGACTCCCATTTCTGGTTACATGCATATGAATTCTTCTGTTTTGTTTTCTTCAAAGAGGTTACAGGTGGTTAGTTATGGTTATAAAGACCCAGTTTTTGGTGGATTTTCTGGAGATTACAACCTCTTCTAGGCTCCCTAACAACAGCATCCATTTATCCCATTATTCTAAAACAAAAATCAGTTCTTGGGGTAGGGACTTCTACAGGTAGCTAACTTTTTTTTTTTTTGGCCAGTTTAATCTTTGTTTCCCCCTCCTAATTTAATTCTTTCTTTACATTACAAACATTCTGAATTAGATGCAAGCATCAGCATCTGATGGAGGCAGGGAAGAGAATCACTTTGAAACTCCAGCACAGACTTCAATACAAGATGAAATAAGAGGTTTATGTGGGGGGGGGGGGGGGGGAGGCATTGAGAATAATTATTAACATTTTACATTCTGAAATTTGTTATATGTAAACTTCTAGGCATGAACCACAGTTTCTCAACTGTACTCAAAGGAGGAAAATTGCTACAAACTTGCCTGAGCACTAGAATATATCTTATGATAGCAGCATTTCAAAAAAAAAAAAACAAAATAAATTATGAATCTCATTAAACAGTCCTTGATACAACTTATGACTCTGAAACAGTTTGTTTGGCACTTACATTGATCAATTCTTAATAGCTTTCAGGTAAATAGTCTACAATGGCTTTGTATTATATATATATCTTACACATAAACAAGGAAGCAACCAAAGTGTTAACGTACTAAGAATCAATATGAATAGCTACTTTAAAAAAAATAAAATGAATAGTTAATAACTGAGAGCAAACTTCTCTGATGATTATGAATTATTTTATTATTATTATTATTTTTAAGTAAGCTTTATGCCTAACGTGGGGCTTGAATTCACAACCAAGAGTTGTACGCTCTATGGACTGCAACAGCCAAGTGCCCCACATTCTTATTTGAAAGGAGGAACGACTAAAATAATAAAAATAATGAGATCATCAAATAACAAAAACTCATTACATGTCAACAAAATAGCATTTTATGAAAAATCACTATTTTCATAAAAATAGTGAGAAGAGGGGTACTGCTTTACATTTTTGAAAATCTTTTTAATGTGTGGCTTAACAGAAGACAGATTATCATATATGCTTCTGCAATCAACTTATTTGCCATATATGACATGTCACATAGCCTCTGGAAAACTCCACCGTATACTTGGAAAACAACTAGAAAAAAAAGCAAATAATGCCTTGGAATTATCATGAAAATAATTTTGCCTTTGTGGATCTTCTGAAAGGATCTCAGGGCCTCCCTTGCCAGGGGTTCACTACTCTACTGACGTGTGGTACTTCAAGAATAACAGTTCTAGTCATTTAATGCCTCTTAAGTTCTACAAATGTAGACAAACCACAAATGTATCTCTTTCATTTTTAAATTAAACATAAACATGGTCTCATTTTTAAAAATTTTTGTCTTTTAAGACACTGCACACCAAAAAACTCAAACAAACTGCATTCAATATCATTCACAGATAATAAGTTTAGGGAATGAAAATTCTTAACACTAAACCGTTACAGCACCATATAATAGTGGTTAAGAGCATGAAATCACAAAGGTCAGCTGTGTGACCTCTGACCTATATAACCACCTGATGCTTTTAGTTTTCTCATGGCTGAAACAGAGATAAATATTTCCACCTTACACGATTTTATCAAGATTAAACGAAAACAAATTAAGAGCTCAGACTATGCCTGCATGTACAAGTCTGATCAATGATACTTAGCTATATTTTAATTTTTAACATGTCATAAAGTATTTTTTAATTATTTTTTTAAAAGTAATCTCTACACCCACAGTGGGAGTGAAACTCACCACCCCAAGATCAAGAGTCACAAGATCTAACCACTGAGCCAGCCAGGCGCGCCAACATGTCATAAAGTATTAAACATAAGACATTTGCTCAGGAAAACAATTGCCTGACCAAATCAGTTTTAACAAAAGGCAGCAATTACTCCGTATTCACCTTTCACACTTCTGTCCCTTTAGAGGAATTTAATTCAAATATTGGTTTAAAATAAAAAATAAATTAAGAGAACGCATTTAAGCAAACAATAGAGCTGGATCGTTTTTTGAAAACACACAAGAACTCTTTAAGGAACAAAAGGAAGGACTACCCAATAGTTTGTCAATTAATAGGCTTGATGACAAAATTCAGGAACTGAAAAGAACTTCAGAAATTAGTCCGTAGTCGAATTTCTTTAATCACGGATAAGCAACCCAGACTGTTAATTTCTCCTGAGCCATAAGGAGACTGAAGGGCAGAATCCTTCCTTACAAAACCTCTCCTAAGGGCCTGCAAACTTCCACTAATTCCAAGTGAACAGTTTGAATGTAAATCAAATTTGTGGAGGATGAGGGCGGGAAAGAAGCCAAAGACCCTTGCCCTCATTCCTTAACCTGGTTCCCAAGCAGGCAAGAAACTTAAGAGCAGTATTTCCTGTTACAACCACAGTAACCTTATCTTTCAGGAGTGTACATAGTGCCTCAGTTTCCAAAGCGCTTTCTACAGTATCAAAGGGAAGAAAATGAAAACATTCAGAATGAAAGGCATCTGCTATTCACATTGAATTCTTGCCCTAAAATCGAGGTTGAAGACAGTTATTTCCATAGTCATTTCAGATCAGCTCTGCACGAGCTGTGTGATCGCATTATTGCTTATTTACGCCGCAGTAGCACAATTCGAAGAATACGGGCAAGCAGGTCCAGAGAACCTCAAACCCGCAGGCCCAAATCCTAGCTCAAACGGCTGAAGCAAGCAGCCCAGGCTTGGAACAGACTGTCCCTTCCCCAGACTATCAGCAGGAACAAGATTTTAAAAGGCACAGACGTAGCTCCGCTCGATCGCCGCCCTGGAGCGTCCGGGAGGGCAGGAGCCACCGCCTCCAGCACCGCCGAAGGAGGCGGGCCTGCCGCAGCCCGCACGACCGGGCCCCTCCCGGCGGCTGGCCCGGCCCCCGGGGAAGCCCCCTTCGCCCCACCCCGGGCCAGGGCCCGCCCCCAGCTTCCCCGGCCTCCTTCCTGTGGGAAGTGCGGCTCCTTACGCGTCCCCCACCCTCTCGGCTCCGCCTGGCAGCCGCTCCGCCGCGAGCGCCGGCTGGGTGGGCGAGGGGCGTCTGGGACCCTCCAACTCGCTCGTGCGCAAGCAAGCCCGCCTCCGCCAGCGGGCCTTGCCTGGACAACAGGCCGCCGCCCGCCCCCTCGCCACGGGCGAGGTCCTACCTCGCCACCAGTAAGTCTTGGACAAGTCGTGCCAGGTCTGATGCCGGGTGTGGTGAGTGCCGCCCGGGCCCAGGTGCGCCGCCTCGATGAGCCCCCGGCGCCGCTCGGGCTGCAGCACTACCTCCAGCTCCGCGAAGGTCTTGCGGTGCCGCTGCCGCCGCTGGTAGTACAAGGTCCCACCGCGCACCACATAGCAGGCGGCCGCTTTGCGGATTTTACGCTTGACATTGCCCTCCGTGCCCGGAGCATACGGCTCACGCTCGTTTGTCAGGTAGCGAAGAATGGCCCGGTAGCTTTCCTCGCTTGACATCTCTGACGGCGGCTCCCTAAGGGCGCCTGTCAGTGGTGGGGGAGGAAGACAGCGCACTAGCTCCGGACGGATGCAACAGCGGCGGCGGCACTGTAGGGAGGAATGGCTGTATCTGTGGTGAGTGCTCTTCGACGGCGCCCGCAGCGCAAAGGCAGAACCGACGAGCTGGTAACCAGGGGGAACTGCACTTCTCCAGCGCGCGGGATCCGCTGGCGACTGACAAAATGGCTGCTGCACCACCGGAAGTGACGTGATCAAGGGCAGTGGGTGAGGGGACTGAGTCCTGATTGGAGCGCACAGGCTTTCTGGAGTGATGAAGCCATCCGGGTGACGTCAGGACTGCGGGCGGACATTTTGGAAGAGGGTAGGCCTTTCCTTCGAGACCGAAGACTGCTTTGAGCAGACATCTTAAGTCCTGGCAGTTTCCCTTTTCATTTTTTCCTTCTTTCCCTTGCTCTGAGCACGTGTGGGAGTTGGTGGGCTGTTGATTTCCCGTCGGATATACACCAAGGTGTGGAGGAGTCTGGTTTTTTTTACCCCGATTACCTTCGGAGACCCCCCCAACAACGTAAAAGCATAAGATTTTGAGGATCTTAGTAAAATGTAAGCCTATGGACACAAGACCAAAGATAGCCGCATTCACATGTAAATTTATTTTACAGGTAAACGTTTGAAATCTGAGTCCTTCAGTGATAAGAATTATAATTTCCAGACTTAAAGTGTTGGCTCCAAATCAGCCATGGAACTGTCGGGATTTTCCTCGAATGACCGTCTAACATAGGGGCAGTTTTCTATATTTGAAGGTAATGATGTTGGCAATGAGTAGATAGCACTCTTACAGCTTCATTTCCATGTATTTTTGCATAAGCTGGGGGGGGGGGGGATTCTCCATTTTACACCCAACATTTACCGAATGCATAAAAGACCAAGGCGACCTGAAATGCATCTTCCAGCGTACAGTGCGGGTCCTGTTTCACATCTTTAGCGGGTAGGCGGGAGCAATGGCCCATGCCACCACCCATCCGTTGGTTGAATCTGCAGCGCAGACAAGACTACAGGCCCAGAACATCCTACTCGACAACTGGGGTCTGGCATTGACAGTGCTTTGCTAGTTCCAGGTCAACCCTCCCCCTCTGCCCCCAGCCTGGAGTCTGCAGTCGCTGGGTCAGGCTCTCTGACACTGCGGAGACATGTTAAGAGGTAAACAGGTGAATGCACTGGGCTCAAAAAATAGGATGGCACCCAATCTCTGCGGTACTTGCGGTTGAGGTTGCGGGAATTGACAGGTGGCTTAGATACTTGAGGCAGCATCCTTGAATAAGATTCTGGCTGTAGGTACCTGAGCTCCCAGACATATATAGGAAAGACATAACCACCAGACCAGGTATTTACTTAGGGTCACTCAACCCAGACTGAGACAGCTGGGGAAAGGAAGAGGAATTAGAAGGTAGAGATGCGTCCTCTCCGCTCTTTGGAGTGGGCCACCCAAAGCAGATACCAAATCAACCCTCCATGAACTGTGCTGGGCCAGCACCATCACGCTTATACTGTGAAATCGACTTCCTTTAAAACTAAATTTAAGGGGCACCTGCGTGGCTCAGTTGGTTAAGCAGCTGGTTTCGGTTCATGTCATGTTTTCATGGTCTATTCATTAGTTCAAGCCCCACCTTGGGCTCTGTGCTGACAGACACCTCAGAGCCTGGAGACTTTTTTGGATTCTCTTCTCTCTGTCCCTCCACCACTCATGCTCTGTCTCTCTCTCTCAAAAATAAACATTAAGATAGCTGCAGCTCTTTAAAAAACAAACAACAAAAAAAAAACTAACTTAAAATAGATTTAAAAAGTTGTGGAAGTGGAGAAAAACTTAAATTACCCAATTCAGTTTCTGCCAAAACCTGTGAAAAGCATTTAGAAGCCACTGTACTTGAATTGCCTTTGGGCCAATGTGGAGAAAAGGTTTTACAGGTGGACTAATTGTCTTCCTGAGAAAAGCTAAACTTGCCACCCTTCTAGACAGGTACTTACTATTTATTTCTAGTTCCTCCTGGGTTGCAGGCTACCCAGGAATCAAGGGCAATCAGAATTGACAGTTTCACCTTAAGTCATGTAAGCCAGAAAAGCAGTGATTTAAAAGGACATTTTTTTCCTGTATCCCAAAATTAGGAATCTAGCTCTGAACTCAAGTTGGGTAGTTTCGTTGGTTAAGTTTCCTTGTTCACAGCTAAATAATGGTCTTATTTTCCTTGTTGTTTCAGAAAAAAAAATTACACAATAAATGAAAAAAATTTCCAAGCAAAACCTTAGAGATTTCTAAGCAAGAGCCAGTGGATTTGCACATTTCTTAAATTGATGTTAGAATTTTAGTTTTCAAGTCCCCCAAAAGGGCTATTTTATTTATTCCTAACACCCAGAACAATGCTTGAATTTAACATGCACTAGACAGAATAATTCTATCACTTTGGATAGCATGGAGGGGATGGGGGGAGGAATGCTGAGGTCTGATTTTTACCTTCACCTAGTATTTCTATATGTAAAAGCATGTTTCTCAAATGAGGATGCGACTTGTAGCTTTCCAACTTGGCAGTGGCACATAACAGGATTTATTTTTTACTTTTTAAAAAATTTTTTTCAATATTTTTGGTGCAAGTGGTGTAGGAACAGAGAGGGAGACATAGATTGATTCCAAAGCAGGCTCCAGGCTCTGAGCTGTCAGCACAGAGCCCCACGTGGGGCTTGAACTCACTGGAGTTCATGACCTGAGCTGAAGTAGACACTTAACTCACTGAGCCACTCAGGCGCCCCTAGTTACTTTTGAGAGGATGAGCACGAGTGGGGGAGAGGCAAAGAGAGAGGGAGACAGAGAATCCAACGCAGACTTGGAGCTGTCATCACAGTCTCACAAAGGGTGAGATAATGACCTGAGCGAAGTCTGACGCTTAACTGACTTGAGCCACCCAGATGCCAGAAGTACAAGCCTATTAACATAAATTACTCTTCCTTGTCACATTTTACACACACATTATCTAGAGTATCAGCAGGCTACTGGTTTTTCTTGCAATTTTAACATGGCTCTAATTCCCAGCTCAACAAACCACCTTGGGAATTTGTAAGCATATTCACGTGCTAACAAAGTTGTACTCTTCAAACTTATTTCTGGAAAAAATGAGTGGTAGGGGCGCCTGAGTGGCGCAGTCGGTTAAGCGTCCGACTTCAGCCAGGTCACGATCTCGCGGTCCGTGAGTTTGAGCCCCGCGTCGGGCTCTGGGCTGATGGCTCAGAGCCTGGAGCCTGTTTCCGATTCTGTGTCTCCCTCTCTCTCTGCCCCTCCCCCGTTCATGCTCTGTCTCTCTCTGTCCCAAAAATAAATAAAAAACGTTGAAAAAAAAAAAAAAAGAGCGGCTTAAGAGTACAGTTGAAGTTTTAAGTACTTTTTTTTTAATGTTCATTTTTGAGAGAATGTGAGTGCGAGCGGCAAAGGGCAGAGAGAGGAGACATAATCATACCGTTTGCAGCTATGGAACTGGAGGGTATTATGCTGGGTATTATGCTACGTGTCAGTCGCAGAAAGATGTTTTCACTCATGTGGATCTTGAGAAACTTAACATAAGTCCATGGGGGAAGGGAAGGGGGAAAAACAGAGAGGGAAGGAGGCAAACCATAAGAGACTCAAATATAGAGAACAAATGGAGGGTTGATGGGAGGTGGGGGAAAGTGGGTGATGGGCACTGAGGAGGGCACTTGTTGGGATGAGCACTGGATGATGTAAGCCAATTTGACAATAAACTAAAAAATAATAATAAAGTAGACTTCCAACTCCCTCGTAGAGCCCAACACTAGACTTGAGCTCATGGCCTTGAGATCAAGATCTGAGATTGAGTTGCAGGTTTAAGTGAAGTTGCAGGCTTAAGGGACTGAGCTACCCAGGTGCCCCAAGTTTTATGCACTTTCAATTCAGCTATCAACTGATGGTAATAGGTGAAGGGCAAACCCAATATAAAATAAATGTTTACCATGGAAGAGTAACTCAACAACAGAAATTCATTGAAAAGATTTACTTTTGGGGAACCTGGGTGGCTCAGTCAGGTAAGCTTCCAACTCGATTTCGGCTCCAGTCATGATCTCATGATTCCTGAGGTTGAGCCCCTTGTCAGGCTATGTGCTGACACGCACTAACACAAAGACTGCTTAGAATCGTCTCTGCCCCTCCCTCACTCACATGCCTGCACTCTCTGAAAATAAACATTTAAAAAACATTGTATTAAAAAAAAACCTAGTTCTCAAATTCTTAACTCTATAGTTCAGCTATTACTATGTAGGCACAATATGCCTGTTTTGTTAATAAAAAATTTTTTGAGAGAGACGGGGTGGGGGGAGGGACAGGGAGAGGGAGGAGAGGGAGAATCCAAAGCAAACTCCAGGCTCCAAGCCGTCAGGACAGAGCCTGACTCAGGGCTCCAATTCATGAACCATGGAGATCATGACCTAAGCCAAAGTCTGACATGACACTTAACCAACTGAGCCACCCAGGAGCCCCTACCTATTTTTATAGTAAAAAAATCCACCACAATCTAGTTATAGTCAGATATTTATTTAAAAATCTGATCTGCGAACTTAGCGTTTTCCACCAACTCGGGGTGCAGAAACCTTCACAGGCTTCACAATCTTTTGCTTAGGTGCTGCCTTCGTAGGAGCCTGTAAAAAGATTAACATGCGACATTATTCCATACAAGTTTTTCAATCACTTATGTCCAGATTCTCTATGTATCCTAGATTGCTTTTCTTATTATTTAACTGCATTCCTATTACTCTTAAGTGCCAGCCTCCCCATGAAAAGTTAGAAGTCTACCTCTATAGGATATGTAAATGAAAAACAAAGATACTGTCACAGATTGGAGGAGTTAAGTGAGGAGACACAACTAAATGCAGTATGGGATCCTGAACGGTGTCTTAAGAACAGAAAAAGGACACTACTAGTTCTCTAAAACCAATGGTTTTGAAAA